TTTTAATATTTTTATTTATTTCTAGGAGAGAGAGAGACAGCGTGAGCAGGGGAGGGTCAGAGAGAGAGGGAGACACAGACTCTGAAACAGGCTCCAGGCTCTGAGCTGGCAGTCAGCACAGAGCCCGACGCGGGGCTTGAACCCACGAAGCGCGAGATCATGACCTAACCGAAAGTCGGATGCTCAACCGACTAAGCCACCCAGGCGCCCCGGGTTGCTGAATCTTGCAACATCACAATGGCCTCTGGATTTTGTCACCAATGCGGAAAGAGTGCCAACCCCCCTCCCCCGCCAGCCTTGCTCGCATATCGGATTCCCCAGAATCAATACAAGAGGAGACAATGGTTCTGGATTCCAGGATTCTAGAAAGTCTTAGAGAGAGCAGGGGAGCAGGCAAGTCTGAGGGGTCTGGTGGATTGCAGCTACCCCCACCCCACCCTTACTTCATGGGCAAGAAGGCTTCCTGGTAGCTAGTGCCTTGAGTTCAAATTGTCTGGACATGATGGAGGTGAACTGAATCCTGGAAGATGCTCAGGGTGGCTATAGTCTCCAAACCCCAGAGTTTAATCTTCTGGTGCTAGAACCTTAACGATGTCCTCACTCAGGAGCCATTAGTCCTCGGGAGAATCCCACTCCAGTGTGTGAACTCACAAGATGTTGTCATCCCAGAAAGTAATGGAATGCTTTCCATTGGCAGCACAGTTGCATGGTGGATGGGCTAAGTGGAGGCCATAGTCAGCTAACTGTTGAGCAATAAGTATATGTGTTCATCGTCTTAGCCAACAAATATGAAGTGAACTGTGTGCTCACTTGCATGGGGACATTAAGAATAGAAAGAGGTGCAAGACAGACTCCTCTAAGACTATATAAAGTCCCCGTCCGTCCTGAAGAAACTTGCCTCTGGATGGCAAGATCAAGGCAGTGTGGGGTCACATCAAGAACAAGCTTGAACTCTACACTCCATCCCGGGATTGAATTCTTACTTGTTACTTAGCCTCAACAAGCCTGTTTTTCCGTCAACGCGGGGATAATTACTACCTCACAAGAGCTGCTAGGAAATGAGAAAATGTGTGTAATGAGAGTTTACTGTGAATACTTTCAATATATCACGTGAATGGTCTTACCGGTTTTGTGAAAGTGCATGTTCGTGGCAGAAAATAGACAACACAGAGCCAAAACTTTATGCAACAATTTTCCCAAGACACTGGTCTCTGAAACAGGACTTTGCTGGAGTATCTGTAGTTATGAAGACACATCCACTCACTAGACACCATCCAAGGCTTCAAGTATCACAGAAAGCTCAGCAAACAAAGGAGCTGGTATCCTTGATGCTCCTGAGAAGCTACGGCCCTGGGGCAAGTGGTCAGGACGAGGGTGGGGCTGGGATGAAGAGGTAGGAGGGAGGGAGGGGTCCCTGGGAATGTGACAGTCAGCCCTTCCTCGAATAGATTTGAACTCCATCTTGCTCTGTCCCTGTATCGTGTGCTGTAAAAACCTACAAGACATCCCTGTCCCTGACCCTCCTCTTAAAGCAGACTCAGGTTCTGGGAGTTTAAAAGACCTGCCCCAAACCACAGGCTGGTTAAAGGCTTCAGGGTCCCTGGGTCCTGTTGGAAAGGCCACTTCTGAAAGGAGGGGTCCAGAATGAGCACCCAGGTGGGCACTCAGGGATCCCGAGGCCCTAGGGCAATTGGGGAATGTTCCCGGGGAGGACAAAGTGCTTTTATTCAAGACTGGCTCTCCGTTGGGCTCCATTTTCAGAGCACAGATAAAGAACAACACAATGTGGGGCGGGGACAGAGGAATGTTAAGGTTTGTGAAAAGAAGGAGCCATTAAGTTAGTCTGAGGTAATGAGAGGAAAGCAGTTTCCAAAGACAAACTCCTGAGCCAGCTGAGGTGAGGATTTCTGGTGCCAAGCAGGGACAGGATAGCCCGAGAGGGCCCCTGGATGACCACCGGGCACAAGCAAGAGTGTCCCTCCTCACCTGTAGGGACAGGACACACCCCGGGCAAGGCAGTCCTGTATGAAGAACTTTCCAAATCAAGGCAGGATAGCACAGTGCCATGATTCCCAAACTTTGTAGGACCCGGGCCTTTGTTGTTATACCCCAGTCTCAGATGATTCTGACACCTGCCAACACCTGCCACAACTTGAGGACCCTTCAGAACATGAGCTTTGGGCCTTGACCCCATGGGTTTGAATCCCAGCTCGGCCATGTGCCTCCTCAGTGACTCTGGCAATGCTGTAAATTCACGATTTGTGACCTGGAACTTTTTTTAAATTTTTTTAAATTTATTTATTTTTGAGAGAGAGCATGAGCAGGGGAGGGGCAGAGAGAGACAGAAACACAGAATCTAAAGCAGGCTCCAGGCTCTGAGCGCTCAGCACAGAGCCCAACATGAGGCTCGAACTCCCGAGCCACGAGATCATGACCTAAGCCGAAGTTGGCCACTTAACCCACTGGGCCACTCAGGTTGTGACCTAGAACTTCTATCTCAGAAGTGCTGGGAGGGCGGAATGAACCGTTAGCCACATAGCCACTGGACCATAAGGTGTACTCTGGGAATGGTAGTCCCTATTCTCAAACCTGTTGCATCTGTGGCAGAAAGGTGCCATTGGAGAAGAAAGAAAATTAAAGGGATTGCAGGGTAAAACAGGATATTCAATCCACTTAACGGAGATTTTTACAAAAACAGAAATTCCTACTCAGCTAGCACCCGCGGGCAGCCAGTGAGCAGCTTGAGATGTCCAAGAGAGAAGCTGAGTGCCCAGGTTGCCATGACAGCATCCACACCATGAGGAGGAAAGGCTCTATCAGTTTAGGAGAGAAAGCTGGGGTGCTCAGCTCCGCGCACGGCTTCCTTCCTGTCAGCCCGATCCAGGGATGTGATGGAGGAACAATCGAGATGGGAGAGGCTTCCACATGGGTAGCCCGCCTGCAGCTGCTCTCTGGGATACTCGGAAGATCTTGAAAGGGAGACTGGAGGGCCATCATCAGGCTACAGATACCGGTGAAGAAAATATACAGGGCTGCTTCCACATATCCAGAACTTCTAGAAGTACTATGAGACATACTTGGCTGACCCCCTGGGAACACACAATACTGTATTTCAGTTCTGATGGGTTAAGGAGAGCTTAGGTGGGTGAACTTGAAGCCGTAGGCAAAAACCAAGTGTGGTTAACAAGTGTGAAGTGTGGGTCAAGAGGATGCCTTCTGGGGGGACCTGTCTTGGCCTCCTCCTGCCGTGCCCCTCCCCACGAGGCACAGGGTTTGTGGGACCAGGGAAATGTGGACACTGAGCGCTCACCCATCAGACAACAGGTCAGGTTAGACCTTACACCTTGGAATCCCTATCAAAGTGACCCAAGCCCGCTTCTGGGACCTAAGGAAGCCTCTCCATGGGTCCATTTTCACAAAGGCAGTGCTGCCCCATGGCACAACGCCCTAAGGCCCAAGTGCTGGGTGGCCAGGGTGCGGTGGTCTGCAGCAAAAGGACATTCGGGAAGGTGTGAGTTGGGGTTCCCCTCGCAATGTGGGAAAGAACCAGGTGGGAAGAGAAGGGAGGAGGCCTAGACCACGGGATGGCCAGCTGTGACACCACACTGTGGCAGAGACCGGATTCTGAGAATTCTAAATTCACACTTGGCCTTCCAGAATGTTATGTCAAGGTAGGAGGATGGAACAGATTTGGGCTCGGCTGGATTTCGAACTTTTAAACATTAAGACACGGCATGTGGGTCTCCATCTGCATTCTTGCCTCTGGCTTTACAAATGTTGGGGATGCGCCTGATGGCTAAAGGCATGTACTTCAGTACCAGACAGGCCTAAACCAAAATATCTGAGTGTGCCATTTATTAATGTGCCTTGGGCAATTTACTTCAACACTCTAATAGTACTGATGGTTAAGGCTCTTCCAGTTCCAAGGAGTAACCCAATTCAAATGGGCTTAATCATAAGTACGGGACTTTTTTGTTCTTACAACTGACAAGTCCAGTAGTAGAAACCTCAGGCATGTACAGATCCGGAAGCCTCGGCAGCATCCTCAGCACGTGGTCTCTACTTGGCCCTGCTTTCCTGGGTTAGCTTCCTTCTTGGGCAGTTTTATACACATGGTCATAAGCTTACATCCTAGTTACTAAGCAATCCCTGCAGAAAATTAAATGTACCACTTTTCTAAAGAGCTGGCAAAATCCAGAGATCCGATGATTGGTTATATGCTCACCAAAGAGGGTCTGTGTCTATCCCCTGTAAATCATGTGGATTAAGAGTCAGGGAAGTAGTTTTCACCAAATAAAAAGTACGATGTGGTTACCAGAGGAACAGCCGAGGCAAAAATGAGTGATTTGATGGGGAATGCTTAGCTCTCAACGTTAGCCATTACTGATGTGATGGAGAAAATGCAAACGGACTCAAAACCAGGTATGCATGCAGAATAGGAAGCAAGTGGAAACCACGTTCATTTTCCAACTGCCTCGAATTCTGGAATGAGTTGGCAGCTTGAAGAGATGAAGACTTGGAAATCTTCAATCTGAGACTCACAACCTCAGAAGACACACTAGAGCTGTGTGTATGAATCATGCTTTTGGTTGTCATGGTTGATTCTGCAAATGCCAACCTGTGTGGCCATCTGTGCACCTCAGCCTCAAAAGCTGGGTGTGAAACCAAGCCTTGTTTGCCAAGGAGACTCCTATATCTGGAATCGTGTAGCGAGGCACATGAATCCCCAAATTATTAAGTTTCTAGATACGTGGCCAATTTGGGGCAATGTCCGGCCTATCTAACGCCGAGATAAACTACTATCGCTGATAACTCATCACGACAGCATGTGGTTTCTACTCACCTGTCTCTAATTAAAGAACTATCTTAAATATGAAGACCCTTCTTACCTCGATGGAAATTGACCAAGACAATATTAATAGGCCTTTAAATGTGCACTTTCGTGGTTTAAATTTTTTTTTCTATTTTTGATGGCTGATAAAAATAGGCTATATACCACATTTTAAACATTTCCCCGTTTTTATTTTGAAAAACTGCAAACCCACAGAAGTTGAAATAGTGATACTAGAATATTAATGCCGCCTTCACACACACACTTTGGATCAAAAAACATGGCGACCTCTGTTTTATGTTAATATCCAGATACGTTCTGTTTTCCATGCTTACAAGAGAAGCAGCCTCATCTTTAGTGAGAGGAGCAGTGTCCTCAGGAAGTCTCAGTGTTGACTTTTTTGTGGTGCTTCACTGATCTCGTTAGAGACTCACAGCCCCGTGAGGCCCTCCGGACAGGATTTATTCCCATTTTACAGATGAGGAAACAAACTCAGAGAGGCCAAGTGATCTACCTGCTCAAGGTCTCAAGTCAGTAAGTGACCTGGCCCAACCGGGAACCAAAGATTTCTGACTTCAGTAACTCAACATACTCTGGTCCCTTCTCTCCTGGATACACGGTGAGAGTAAAGCCCGAGCCAAAGAGATATACAAAGAAGGGTTTTAGCCTCATTCTTCTGACCGTCTGAAAGCAAATATTCACCAGCACCCATGTACACAGCTTTATCAATCAGAAGTCTGTTACCAGGAGCATAAAAAACCACAATGGAAATTGAGAGCGGAAGGGTGCATACAGAGGGTACAGAAATATCTGTTAACTGCCCCCGCTCTGACTTCAATATTTACTGAGTGCTTACTCTGTTCCCAGGATTGTGCTTGGGATACTGAGCAAATAAGATAGACGAAGATTCCACCCTTGCGGAGCTCACATTCCCGTGGGCTAATGAACAATCCAGAAGCTGCCAATGAGAGATTGGTGGGCTGCAACTGGCCCACATTAGGGTTTGGATTGGTCCGCAGTGTTTAATTTTGCCTTTTTATAACAAGTTGCCAACTTCTAGCTCCTCTGAAACAGGCAACTTCCGTGGGATTCCTGAATAAGTAGCAGCTCCTCCCCCCAACCCTGCCCCCGAAGAGGACTTCAGTTCTGAACATCTCCCACTGTCTCACACCCAGGCAACTGCGGCCCAATTCATGCATCTGCGTTTCCCCCTTGGCAAAAGCACTTAAGATGAAACCCCTGAAGTAAACAGTCAAACGAGATGATTTCAGATAGCACAGCAGGATGTCATGGGAAAGAAAGCAAATGAGCTTATGTGAAATGAGTGATAGGATTGGTGGAAAGGGCTACTTCAGATTGGGTGGTCAGGGAGGGTCTCTCCCAAGTGTTAACTGAAACAGAGAAATGCATTCTGACAGGCATGACAAATGTGCCAACAGATCAGAAAAAAATGCTTCCAAGCAGAGGGACCAGCACGGGTTCCGCTTGGGGCAGGAAGTAACTTGGCCTGGTCGTAAAACAAATAACAGCAAATTTGGGGTGGCTGGGAGAGTGGCGATGGGATCACAGAGGAAGGAAGAAGCCAGATTATACACGACCTTAAAGGCCATGATGAGAATTTTGGATTTTATGCCAAGTGCAACCGGAAACCTTTGGAAGGCTTTTGTTTGGGAATCATGTGATCTGGTTCATATTTTTCAAAGATCACTCTTTGAAGCAGATGTAGGGAACTGATTTAAACGAGGCAAGAGAGGAAGCAGGGAAAGCAACAAGAAGGCTGGTTTATCCTGGATTACCGGAGTCCAGCAGGGGACAGTGGCTAGGGCCAGGCTGGTAACAGAAAAGCTGGAGAGCAGCAGATTCAGGATATAATCTGGAGTATAACCAAAAGAATTCTCTGATGGAGTGGATGGGAGTAGTGCCAGTGGGCCGGAGGGATGAATGAAAAGGGAGTCATGAGGGATAACTCCAAGGTTGTGCCTTGGTCAAGGGGATGTCTAGAGGCCCCCATTGTAGGGACCGAGGGCAAGAACGGGATTTCGGATGAATACATTTTGCCAAGACGCAAGCGTTCCTAGATCTTCATTTCCCTTCTCCCACATCCAAGCAGTCTCAAATCCAAAAATCAGAACTTGCCTCATCTCTTACCAACTCTGTGCCTTCAACTTCAGATCCATGGCCTCCAACTTGATTCAGTCCTTTCTCTTATTGACTTTTCCAACAGCCTTCTACAGCTATGGATTAACTAACAAAAAGCACTTAAATAGCCGTGTGCACCTCTCTCCCACTAGCCATCTTTGATGGCAGAGATCATGTGCTATTCATATGCATCTCCAGTGCTAGTGCTGTGCTGGGCCCAGAGCAGGCACTCAAATATTTGATGAACTGAAAAGGTTTCCTCAGATAGAATACAATCTCCTTGCAGAGAGGAGTCCTATCGTCGAATTCTAGCATTCCTTTACACAACCAGATTCAAAATGTATAATCAAGTTCCAGAAACTTTACCTTCCCAAAGGACGAGTTTCTTTTTCATTTAGTTTCAAAGCACACGAAGTCCCATTTTACCTCGTTGTTAATAAACAAGATTGGCCAACAGACAACGTATATTACTACTCTTTTCCACTTTTCTTCCAAACCTAGGGACTTTACATGTGCATACGTTAACAACATCTTTGTAAGGAGGTCAAGAAAGAGGATTATTCTCCATTTTTCAAATAAAAAAACTGAGGCACCAAATGATCCCTTAATTACTTTTTGATGGAGTTCGGAGCTTCGCCTAGATTAAGACTAGCCCTTCCCTGACACGATCCCACAGTTCTTTGACTGGAAGTTATCCCAGGCTCCAACCCCTGCGGAACTGCTGGTTAGTATTCAGGGGTCCCCTAGGTTTTGCCTCCACAACTGCAAACTCCTTTGGGTACCAGGGTGTGTTGCTCCAAGGTCAAAGGCCATGTCCTCTCTCTCCAATTGACCATTTCCCTCAGCGTCCAGTGAAGACAGATTCCAGCCCTTGGGCCCAGGAGAAAGAAGCACCTTGGTCATTAGACCGGGAGGTCAAGTCGGGCCAGGAGTCACAACGGGCAAGGGGGGAGAGATAGAGAGAGAGAGAGAGAGAGAGAGAGAGAGAGAGAGAGAGAGACGGAGAGAGAGATCAAAGTAGGCAAGAATAGTTTCAATGAAGAAAAGGAGAGAGGAGCCACCACTGAGAAAGTCAGAAGACTCCTTCAAAAAGGCTTCCAGCTGAGGAGTACCTGGGAAGAGAAGTGGCAGCAGTGGCGGCGGGGCCAGACCCCTCCTGCCACACGGGCCCAGAGTCATTTCTTCAAGGCGCCCAGGCTTCTCAGAGCCTCCTGGGCTTGCGTCAGCTGCTGCTGCAGCCTCTGGCGGGTGCTCTCGTTGGAGGCCCGCTTCAGGAGGCCCTGCATTTCCTCCACCACTGCCCGATGGCCAGGGGTGTTGTGGAAAAGCCGCACCGCCCGGTCCCCACAGGAGGCCAGAAGCCGGCCAGTGATGTCAAAGGACAAGTCAGTGATACACTCCCCATGGACCCGCTCAAAGAACTCCTCCTTCTCACCCCGCCGGGTGTTGTAGAGATGAATACTGCTGCCACTGGCCAAGGCCAAGACCTGGGCGTCAGGGGAGAGCGCCAGGCGGCAAGGCATGGTGCTCGCCTCTTCAAAGCAGCCTGTCCTCAGCAAGTAGGGATCCTGCTGCTTCTTGTACTCCACGTCTGTGTCCCACAGTTTCCACGTCCCGTCCTTGGAGACGGAGGCCATCCTGCGCATGGAAAATCACAGCCCTAGCCCCAACGCACGCCGGGGGGGGAGGGCACTGGACGGCAGTAGGGGCTCCAGCTAAGAAGCCACGTGCATGGCCAGGTCTACTTTCTGCTGAGGGCCGGGCACTCTACCCACTTCAGAGCTGCTGCAGAGACAGGCAAAAAAGGCCCTGCTTGCCGGGAGGGGCTGGGATCCACTGGTGAGATGTCAGGGAGTATTCACTCACCTGCGGGAGTCATTGGAGAAAGCGAAGAAGTGGACAGCGGCCGAGTGACCCTTCAGTTCAAAGGCTCGCACAACCTCCTGGAAGTCCCCTTTTTTCCCAAAGCAGACCTCCCAAACCTTGACATCCGGGGTGAAGCCGCATGAGGCCACAAACCTGTCACACAACCAGGTTCCTTTACAACTTCATCATAAGGGCATTTCATTTCTGCCGACCCGCTAAACTGCATTCCCGAGAAAGTTAACAATCTTCTACCTAAATAACACTGTACTTTAAAAACTGCTTTTATACACATGACCTCAGTCTGTCCTCGTGGCCGTGCTAGAAGACACATGGTACCCCCACCACACGTGACTCCACATGGTCTGCTCCTTCCACTATCTGAATCTGGCGCCCCGCTCTGTTCCTGGCCATCCCTTCCACCCACCCCAGATGCCAAGCCCCTCCCTCCTCACCTGCTACAAGGGGATACGGCGGCATGGGCATTGTTCATCTGGTTAGTGTTGACGGTAGACAGCACACGACCTTTCAGATTCCAGATGAGGATAGTTGTGTCACTGGAAGCAGTCATGATGAACTTCCCTGAGAGGGGAGGAGGGTGACGAGAGCTGAGGTCAATGACCTGACCAAATGTCATCCCCTAAGCAGACATTTACGAAGGTCTCTGCTGCCCCAAGTATCCATGCTCCCCTCCCGGGCCAAGGGTCACCACAGACTAGGACTGTGTTGCAGACCATGAATCTTACCTGCCTCCCCTGGGGACCTTCTTTGACTCCTGGACTCCAGGGGAACCCAGAGATGGAGTCCCTTTGTCAAAACGAGGGCTGAGCATGACTCTCAGGCAGCGTTAACTCATTCAGCAAATAACTGGCACTATTCCCTAGATCTTAGGTAAGCTCCGTCCTCTGAATGCCTCTTACCTGTGTCAGCAATGCCAATGTTGATGATGGGTGCCTTGTGCTTTTTGGGAAAGTCCTCTGGGGTGGCCGTGAAGGTATAGCCTCCATCCTCTCGCTTGGTCATCTTAAAGACACGAAGGGTGTCTCCATTGGCCAGCCAGACGATGAAGGCTCTAGAAATAGGTAGCAGACAAGGCACTCACTCCTCTGGACACGGAGGCTTGTGTGTGTGACAGCTTCTGTGCTAGGCTCTGAGGAAAATCATGGTCTTCCTTCGTGCCCCAGTCTGGCCCTGCAACATAACCCCTTGGTTCCAAAACCTCTTACTACTCCTCAGGAGGTAGAACTCTCACAGCTTTGGCTCTTTCGGTTTCTCACTAGAGTCTGGAAAACCATTATAGCTTCCAAGTCTAATCTGGAGCCAGGCTTTGGTACTTCCCAAGTAGGAATACATCTTCCCCTCTCTGCTTCCTTGCTGTGTAAAACACACAGACCTCCAGGGAGCCCAGGCAGTGCTCGGGCTGTCCAATTGTCTTTCTGTCACCCCCAGGGAGAACCCGGGTCCCCCCTCGCTATCCCGAGTCAGGTATGGGAAGGACAGAAGCCTGGGCCTGGCTTCTGCAGGCACAGCTGACGCTCCACCTTGTCGCACCTGCAGTCAGGGCTGAAGCGCACCAGGGTGGCATGGTCCAGCTCCACGTTGGCTCTCATGCTGCGATGCTCCCGCTGCAGGAAGTCCTTGGTGCTCCAGATACGGACGGTGCGGTCATCAGCACAGGTGGCCAGGTACTTGCCATTGCTGCTAAAGTCCATGCAAGATATGTTCCCACTGTGGCTCTAAGGGAAGGGTTGCAGGAAGTATGAACAGGGACCCCTGGGGCAGATGGAGTCTGTTGCCTGGATTAACACCAAGCTGCTGATGGGGCATGACCAGAGCGGACAGGATGGGGCAGTCCCACCGATTTTGGCCGGAGGCAGCAGGGTCTGTCATGTGTACAGAATACTAAAAAGGAATAGCCTGTGGGGGGTGTGAGCCTTTGTGTATGTGTGCTGAACATGGGTACCCACGTACCTTCAGCGCTGCAGCCAGGAGGCGGTGAGTAAAGTTGTGCTGCTGAGGCTTCTCCTTGCGAATTCGCTGATGCTGTTTTTGCTTCTTGGATCTCAAGGACTTGTCAAGTGGAAGCCCATTTGCTTTCTGGCCTATGAGGAAGTGCTGTGTCATCTACCCATTCACTCACTCACCAAGCATTTCTGACCACCTAGGATTAGCCAGGCATTGAAGCAGCAGCGAGAGCCAGGCAGCCAGGGCTGCAGGCTCTAGGAGAGAGAGTGATGGGAGTAAAAACAGGGCTTTGGAATCAATCTGGGTTTGGATTGTAGCTCTACCACGAGGGACCTTGACAAGACTGCTTGCTGCTAGACCACAGAGCACCTCAAGGCAAATTAGAAAAGGCGGCCTCTCTGCAGCAGCAGCAGCACAGCCCAGCCAACCAAGGGCAGATCCCTGGCCAGACAGCCCTAGGTAGGAAATAATGTGCACAGCCTACCAAATCTGGTGGTCCTGGGCTTGGGCGAGCTATTAAACTGCTCTGGGCCTTGATTTCCTTAAAGAGAAGCTGTGAGAACTGGATAATACATACAAAAAGAGAAGCGGAGTACCCAACACGAGCACTGAAGGCTCAGATGACTCCAGAAAGAACTCAGGGATGAGAGGTAGTCAATACCTGTTGAGGGAGTACCTACCCTGTACCAGAAATGGTGCCAGTCACTTTTGCATAAAATAGCTACTTTAGGGGCACCTGGTGGCTTAGTAGGTCGAGCACCCGACTCTTGAGATCAGCCCATATCATATATCGCAGTTTGTGAGTTTGAGCCCCTTGTCCGGCTCTGAGATGACAGTGCGGAGTCTGCCTAGGATTCTCTCTCTCTCTGCACCACCCCTCCGCGCCTCGCGTGCTCTTTTTCAAAAAAACTTTTAAAAAATAGCTAATTCGAAAGTCAGATCAGGTGCAAATTGGGCATGTGTTAGATTACTGCAGATGCTCCTCAATTCGTACATGAAAAAAACTCCTGAGGCTCATATAGAGACCACCACAACCTGCCAGCTCCAGCCTTGCTGGGCAAGCGCCCTCCTCTCTCCGAAGGGCACACCAAACGCCCTTCGAACTCCTTGCCTTCACGCATGTACCCTTTGCCAGCAATGCTCCTCCTCCCTCCTTGGCCAAACTCTGAGAGGGGTATCCTTCAAGACCCCACACCACGTGTTTCCTACTCTCAGAGATTTCCTTGTCCCCTCCCCACCGAAAAAGCAGGGCTGACCACTCCCACCCTGGGGTTTCCTGCTGCTAGGGCTGACCTCTTCTATGAAACCTATTACAGGGTATTTTTCACTTACGTATGCGGATGCTCTTCTCCCTTACGCGACAGTGTACTCCCTAAAGGAAAAGTCGCCGAAACCTACTGAGATACTACGTACTCTAATAAATGTTGCTCACGTCGGGGAACGAATCGGAGTACTAACAAATGCGTGCCCGTCTCCCCTCATCCCTCTCCAGTTTCCTAAAATAACGAACAAGACGCGCGCTGGCGAGTTTACAAGGGCTCTCGCAGCAACCCCGGGGAGACGCTGGGGCTCGGCGGGACAGCGCCTCGTTCTCGGCCACCGAGAAAGCGGCAGCGCCGGACCCACGCTGTAACTAGTTCTCCAGAAGGGGCGCGACCAGCCCGGCGAGCTGGCACCTTGTCTCGTAAAGCGAAGCTCATTTTACAAAAGGAGAAACTGAGGCCCACGGGGTCCCCCAAACCGCAGGTCGGATCACTGGGAGGCCAGCAGCCTGGTCCTCGCGAGTCCCCCCCCTCGCCCCCACCCCACTAACCAGCGGACGGGCTGCAAGTCTTCTCCGCGCGCAGCCACCCCCACGCTACCGCCGCGGTCGCCATCAGTGCCAGCAGTCCGAGCAACAGCGACAGGTCCATGAGCTCCGGCATTTGCGGCAGCTCCATGTCTGCACGGCAGCTGCCACCTCAGCCTTTGACTACGCGGGCGCTTGCACGCCTTCGCGGGGCCGCGCACGCACACAAGGCGGGGCCTGGGCGTTGGCGCGTCCCGAGGGTCGGGGTGGAGCTTGACCGTTGGGGCGCCTCGAGGGGCGGAGCTGGATCGTTGGAGCGTCCAGAAGGGCAGAGCCTGGTTGCCGGAGCGTCTCGTGGGCGGGGCTTGACGGTTAGTGCGTCTCGCAGGGCGGGGCCTGACTGTTGGAGTGACTAGCAGGGCGGGGCCCACTCATGGATCGTCCCGAGGGGCGGGGCCTGGCCCTTCTGGGGTCTGGTGATTGAAGCCGTGTCGTCTCCCAAGCTGGGGGTCGAATTCTGCAGGCCCTGCTGAGTCCTCCCCTTGAGTAATTTACCGATAATTGTTTATCAAAGGAGTTATTCTAGCCATCACCACAGTGGATCCTTTCAAGGAGGCAAGGCGGGGGTTATTAATTCCCATTTAACAGCTCTTAACATCGGGAAATTTCGACGGGCTTTTGGTATTAATGGAGGAAGGAAAGGATAGCCCTAGAATTGAACCATGGGATAATAGCCTCAGCAGAGACCCGAGAAGGGTGGCTGTGGGAAGGCAAGGGCATGAGCAAAAAAGTAAGTAGTGGATAAGACTGGAAAGATCTGGGGGGCCCTGAGAGCTAGCTGAATCCAACCAACAGAAAGGAGCCTCTGCTGGTTATTACAGGGCGAGTTAGGACAAAACTGGTGTCTCTTGAGATCCTCTGGAAGGATCAGTTGGGTGCCAAGACCAAACACAGAAGGAAAATCAGGAGGTGTTTTGCAAAGATCCAGGAAGGAAATAAGGGCCTGGACTTAGGTGTGGCCCTGGGAAGTGGAAAGGAACTTGAAAAGGTTTTTAACAAGATTCATATTTTTTTGAAATTACAGATTCAAAAAGGGTTGGAAAAAACGAACAGGAAGTTTCTACGAACGTTCACCCAGTTTCCCCCAATGGTAACATCTTATGTAACTCTAGTGTGATATCAAAACCAGGAAATTGGCATCGACACCATCTACGGAGTTCATTCAGCTCTAACCAAAAAGGAGGTACTCTGAAAGACTAATTGATCGTAATTGAGTTAGACCTGCTTGGCTGGAAAGGGAATGTTTCCAGAACAGGGAGCAGTGCTCCACAGGTCTCCCAGCCCTACAACCCAGAGTATGTACCAAGGTCAAGGATTCCAGATTCAAAGGTTTCCATGCCCACCAGGGAACCTCTCCTGTAGTGCAGGCTTTCAGGCCTTTAGAAGGACCCTCTAAGGGGAGAGGATGTTGCAGAGACCAGACGACCTGTAACCTTGGTTGAGGACATAGATCCAGTCAGAGAGCAAACGGAGGGTGGCCTCATTTCCTTCCCTTTTGTCCTTTGTGGGGAGGAGGATTGGCATGGACTCAACTGTGGGCAGTAGTGTGGGGAGGGCTGGGGGGTGGGGCTTTTCCTCTTTAATTTGCTGAGAACTGTAGCACTAGCCATGAACTGCTTTCTCCATGACCTCGAGACAAAGCTGTACTTTTTTTTTTTTTTTTACTTTTTTATTTAAGCAGTCTCTACACCCAACATAGGGCTCAAACTCACAACCCCCAAGATCAAGAGTTGCATGCTCCACCAACTGAGCCAGCCAGGTGCCCTGACAAAGTTGTACTTTTAGAAGAACTTCCTTTGGTCACCTGGGTGGCTCAGTCACTTGAGCGTCCAACTTCAGCTCGGGTCATAACCTCACAGTTCGTGAGTTTGAGCTCCACATCGCGCTGGCTGCTATCTGCATGGAGCCTGCTTTGGATTCTCTGTCCCCCTCTCTCTGCCCCTCCCCCGCTTGTGTGTGCTCTCTCTCTCCCTCAAAATTAATAAACATTTAAAAAAAGAACTTCCTTCACCAGGCATTTTGCATGTGACATTGATTGATCTGGGAGCTTTGCGTTTCATTTAATCTCCCATTCCCATCCCACAGATTAGGAGACTGATACTCTAGGAAGTGCTCATTAGGTGACTTTCCAGGGACCACACAGGTGAGGAATGAACACGGGAACACACGCAGGTCTGTGACTCTAGTCTGTTGATGTGGGGGACAAGGAGAAGAAAGAGTAGGATTCTGTGTACAGCTCAGTCAAGGCTCAGTCAAGATTCTTTCACATCAGGAAATTTGGTTGGTTTTTATAGCGGCCTTTAAGGCAAGTGATGCTATGAAATTAAGCAAATGGAAAAAACTAGTTTTGGGTCAAGTGCTTTACCCAAGGTCAACAAGGAAGCAAGAGCTAGAACTCATTGGGGTGGGTAGTAAACTGGGGTCGGTTACACTCCAAGATCTATACTCCTCCTACCTCGCCACTCACCACTCAGTGCTAAGCAGGCCTGGCTCTTACCTCAGGTGTCACAAGGCCCAGCTGGGAGCCAAGGTCAACTTGTGGAAGGACAACCAATGACACAAAGCAGGATTTGGGAAGGCTGGGCGGGTCAGGGAGGGAGCTCTACCGATGAGTTTGGAGGGGCAGTGAGACTTGGCTGTACTTTGGGGGGCCATTCAGACAGGGGAGGCAGAAGGGAGTGGCTCTGGCAGCCTGTGTGGGTGAGTGTTGCCGATGGTGCCAGAAGAATGTGAAGGGAGGGAGGCTATGGAGAGAAATGAGGCCAGAGAGGTAGCAGCGTCCAGTCATAACCTTGAACCTCGGCCCACAAACCTGGCCTCATCCGAGGGAAGCAGGAGCCAAGGAAGTCGTAGAAACACAACTTCACAATCTGCAACTGTAAACCCACCCTGTACTGATTGGAGGCCTTCTTACCTGGCCTCTGTGTTAGCCCAAACAATACATTTTTTCCTTTAAGTAGTGGTTCTCAGAGTATGGACCCTGGATTAGTACCATTAGAAATGCAGAGTCTTAGACCCCATGCCAGACCTGCAGACTCAGAAACGCTGAACCACCCATTTAACTAACTTGAGCTCTAGGCATATGTCATTTGCAGCTCGAAGCCTCAATTACAGTGGTTCTTAACCTTGGCTGCATATTGGAATCACCTTAAAAAATGCTGGTGTCTAACCTTCCACCCTGAGGGCTTCTGATTTAATTGGTCTGGACTGGACCTGGCCGGTGAAGATTTTTTTTAAAGCCCTTCCAAGCTATTCAAATACACACTTAAGTTTGAGAACCAGCTGCCAGGGACCTCGCAGGCCAATACAAGACTATGTGTAGGACGAGATGGTCTGTTGGACCAGGGTGGCAGCTGCGGGGATGGATGTGTACAAGGTCAACTCACCAGCCCTTGGTAACGACTGTTTTCAGCCTGCACAAGTGCCTGGGTCGTGGCACCCTTCCTGGGGATGGGGAGCACAAAAAGGAGCAGGTTTGACATGGAAGACTGTGGGCTACAGTCTCAGAAATGATGAGTTCTGTTCTGGTTCCTTGAAGGTAAAAGGGAGCTGGGAAACATTCAGAGGGAGGGGGCAGGGTGGCAGTCGGATATGTGCTTGCGTAGCTCCAGGGGCAGAGCGGGGCAGATGCAGAATAGTGAGTCCTCAGCAGAGAGGCCAAAGGGAATGGTATTACCTGGCGCTTGCCACCAAGTGAGAAGTGGGCCAGGAAGGGACTGGCCGGGAAGAAGAGGCTCCTCCCATAGCAGGCACTGGGAAGTCACTGTCAGGCAGGAGGGAGAGCCTACAGAGAATTTTGGATTCACAGGGAAAAAGCAGTTCAAGAATGAGGTCCAGGGACCCAGGGGCGGTGGGGGGCGGGGGGGAGTGGTATCAAGGGAGGAAGAGCACTGCAAAATGGTTGTTGGATTTGGCAACAAGGGAGTCAGACATGTGACCTCAGTGAGAGTGAGTCAGTGCAGGGGTGAGGCTGCGGTAGAAACAAGGTCCAGGAGACCAAAGACTGGGTGAGTGGGAGGGGAGGAGAAAGGAAGAGCAAGTGTAGATAGACGACTCTTGGGGGGACACAGGTGAGTGTCGGACTTCAGCTCATGTCATGGTCTCATGGTTTGTGGGTTTGATCCCTGCATCGGGCTCTTTGCTGTCAGCATGGAGCTTGCTTTGGATCCTCTGTCCTCCTCTCTCTCAAAAACAAACATTAAAAAATAATTAGGGGCACCTAGGTGGCTCAGTCAGTTAAGTGTCTGACTTCTGCTCCGGCCATGATCTCACAGTGCATGGGTTTGAGGCCAGTGTCGGGCTCTGGGCTAACAGCTCAGAGCCTAGAGCCTGCTTCAGATTCTGTGTCTCCCTCTCTCTCTGCCCCTCCCAACTCACACTCTGTCTCTCTCTGTCTCTCAAAAATGAATAAATGTTAAAAACATTTTTTAAAAAGGAGGAGAGTCTGAAAGCAGAGAATAGGGTCAGACAGTCTGAGTGAGCATCTCACTAACCATACAACGGGCTAGTTAACCTCTCTGTGCCTCAATTTTTCATCTGTAAAATGGGGATGCTAATAGTAACTATTATGATAACTCTTACGTACTGTTATATGCCAAGCACTGCTCTAAGTGCTTTATATATATTTATTCTGACATCCTCACAGCTGGCCTATAGAGGTATGTGTTAATATGTAATAAGTGAGTTAATATATATTAAGTGCTTAAAATAGTGCTTGGCACGCAGCAAATGCTAGAGGAATATGCAGTTAGTACTGTCATCTCTATGATTCCACACAAATGAGGGAAAGACACGGAAGACTGTCTGCTGTTTATATCCTGTAAGCAGCTGCAGAAGTTGAGGTGTGAGAAGATTCAGGCTCCCTGACCTTGAATCAGCTCCATGAGGAGAGGGATTCAGTAGTGACCAGAATCCCCAGCACCAGGACCATCACCTGGTCCACAGCGGGCCCTCAGAAAGGATCTGTTAAATGGCTCAATAAAAGAATCAATGAAATATGGGGACCATTCACCCCAACTCCCCATCTGAAGTATCAGTTTCTTCTTTTAAAAAAAATTTAACGTTTTATTTATTTCTGAGAGAGAGAGAGAGACAGGGTGAGCAGGGGAGGGTTAGAGAGAGAAGGAGACACAGAATCCAAAGCAGGCTTCAGGCTCTGAGCTATCAGCACAGAGCCCAACACAGGGATTGAACCCACAAACCATGAGATCATGACCTGAGCTGAAGTCAGATGCTTAACCGACTGAGCCACCCAGGCACCCCTGAAGTATCAGTTCCTTCTAAGGCATCCCAACCAAGTGTGTGTCTGCTCTCTGCTTGCACATCTAGCATAAATGGGGAGGTCACTTCCCCCCCAGAGGCAACACATTCTCCTTCTGGATGATTCCAACAGAAGACCCTGTGACTTCCACTCATGGGTTTGGCTCTGCCCTCTTCCAACCTGGAAGGTGGTAAGCCTTTCTGAACCTTTTCCTGGCCATGGAGAGAGGATTTCCAGGGCGAGTTGTTTGTCATCTCCGACCTGGATGACGGCAACAGCCTAAAATGGGCCTCCATGCTTCTGCCCTTGCGCCACGGTGGCCTGACTCCGCACCCAGAGGGATCCTGTGAAGACCTTATATCTGATCTTGTTCCACCTCTACTCCAAACTCTCCTGTGGCTTCCAGCTCAGAGGAAAAGCTAAGGTCCTTTCTAGGCCACCTCCCATTGCCAACTGGCTCTCTCTCTCCATCCCAGAGTGAGACACGCTGACAGTCTCCAACAGTTTTTGTTTTTATTGGTCAAGAATTCTTTACAAAATCCACACACACGCATCCACACGCACACATGATGCCTGCCCTGGTTTGGCCACCCCCTGCCCTGCTCCTCTCCTGGGATCAGACCTTCCTGGCCTCACCCAGCAATGCCACCCTGTAGCACCCCCCCCCCAGTGGCCACCAGCGGAGGAGCAGAGAGTGGGACTCTCTTTTTCTGCCTCTCTGCTCAGAAACAGAGGCCCGTGCCCTGTGGGGGGAGGGGAGGAGGGACAGATAGGGGTGGTGGGGAAACAGGATTTTCCTCCTTCCTCCTACAGACTCCTTGAGTTGCCAGCTTAGGCCCCAAGTATCACAGTTGCTAAGGCCTTGGGATCATCTTCTGGTTGAAGCTTCTCCATCCCCATTTTGCAGACTGGAAAGTGAAGGTCCAAAGAAGAGTATGAGTCCTTCAGGTCACAGTGTTAGTCTCTGGTGGGGCAGGGAATGGAATGCCATTCTTCCTGGCTTCCAGGAGGTGGAAGAGATTTGGGCACCGCTAGACCCTCAGGAAAGGGGACAGCCAGGGCTGGGGGCAGGAAGGGAGTGCCCAGAAGTTGTCCTTGGAGCCCAGGCCCAAGGAAAGCAGCCCCTGGGCAGCTGAGTAAATCGCAGTGTCTGGCCAGCCCTATAGAGGTTTGCCAAGGCTGCCCTCTGTCACCGCCCGTGTGGCTTGCTCAGGTATACAGCCTGGATCTGTCAGGATACTGGTAGATGTGCTCAGCTGGCGGAGGGAGTTCAAGACAGCTGGGGAAAGAGAGTGAGTGAGTGAGAGAGAGGGAGAGATACCTTCTGGGGTCAGGGCCCTACCCTTGGATGCTGAGGACAAAGGAATAGGGAGGAGATACTAGCTGGCAAGACTGTCAGCCCCTCCGAGGACCTCTGTCTGCAGGTTTCCTGGTGGCCAGGGGACCATCCAGGGCAGGCTGGACCTACAGTCTGAGCAGAGTGGAACCCTCTGCCCCGAGGCCTGGACATTCCAGTGGGCAGGTAGGTGGCTCACGTACTCGGCCGGAGAGCAGGCAGGGAGCAGTACTGGTCCAGCCAAGCCAGTGAGGTCTGGCGGAGGCTCTGCAAGCTTGCCGTGGACACCATCCCATTGAAGGACTCGAACAGAGGCCGAATGAGGACGCTGAACTGGGCCCAGGTCAAGGATCGGGCCCGTTGTCCAGCCAGTACCCTCACCCAGCTCATGTGTAGCCCTGACCTCTGGCCCAGACAAGGGCAAGGGCCTGGCCACTGTGGCACCTTGAACCTCGAGGCCTCCCGCTATAGCCACCCTCCCATCCTCTCCAGCAACTCTACGCGCTTCTTCTGGGCTGGACTATCACTCCTCCCTGGGCCTCCTGCCCCGGGCTCAGCCAAGAACTTGACCAGGTTAGGGAGTGAGAGACTCTTTAGGACCGACCCCACTCACGCCACTCAGACTTCAGGCTCTTCCCAAACTGCCCGTGGGACACCCTGTGGGCAAGGCTGTGTTCCCCTCACCCAGAGGCTCCTCCCTCGGTTGCCCTCCGCTCCCAGCTAATCTACTGGGCACTCCTGCCGACCAAGATGCCAAGGGCCTGGAAGGAGGGAGCGGAACCGGAGCCCCTTCCCCTGGGAGCAGCTCTGGGACCCTGCCTGGCCTGTGGAGCTGAGCCTGCATTCGGGCACAGCTTGGTCCCGCGGCCGCGCTCACCCCACCGCGGGCCAAGTGAGGATACCACCCAGAACTTCCAGTTGTGCAGTGTCCGGGTGCGGACATAGTCGTCGAACATGTCTCGCATCTGGTCGAAACGCTGGTGCGTGATGGGCACCCCGGTAGCAGGCAGCTGCTGCTGGCACAGGCTGGTTGGGGGGGGGGTGCAGGTCAAGGCTTGGTAATCCTGCCCCCTTCCCTGTGAGCATGCGTGCGTGTGCGCACCCCCCGCCTACTTAATGGCAGCGTTGAGCTCCTCAATCTGGTCCCGCAGCTGCTGGGCCTCCTCCTGCATGGCCGCCCGCTCCTGCTGCAGCATGGCGATGTACTCGGCCGTCTTCTGCAGGGTGGTCGCTTTGCTCACCTGCAGGCACACCTAATGTGGGCTCAGGTGCTGGAGGTGGCCCCACTCTGGGGTCCACTGAGGAGGAAACTGGATGTCTGGGGGGCCCTGAGGTTTGGTCTTGGGCAAGGAGCCCTATGGCTCTGGGGGTGCCGGCCCGGGCTGGGGGCTCTCACCTTGAGGCTGGGCTGGGCGCTGAGTGTGCTCACCAGCCCATGCAGGGTGTCAAACCCCAGCTTGATATTGAAGCGCCTCTTCTGCTCTGCAGAGATGTGTGTGATGCGCCGGTTCTCAGTCTTGGGGGCGGGGTCAGACAGAGAGGTGAGCCTAGGAAGGAGCATGGAAGGGCCTGGGGGTAGCAAACAGATCTTGGGGTGAGGGAATGGTGCCACCTTGTTGTCCTGACGGCCCCGGCTTAGGATGGGTTGAGGGGGAGAGACGCAGACACTCAGGGTCCCCGGGCCTGGCATGGAGTTGAGCTCCCCAGACAGCCGCCGCTCACCACCTGTGGCCGGGAAAGACAGACCCACAGACAGACCGACACAGGGGAGAGGGTCCCATTGCCCTGTCCCTCTCATCCTGGCCTCAGATGCAGTCCCCCCTTCTTCCTTCCCCTTTCTCCATCCCCTAGAGTCCCCCAATCCCTGCAAGCCCTCTTTACCGCTGTGTGCTGGGGGCGAGAGCCGCTCCGCTTTGGGGACAATCAGGGGCCTGGGAGGGGCCAGTGTGGTTGGGCCTGGAGGTGGCCGGGGCGGTGTGGGGGCCGGGGTTGGGGGTAGGAAGGTGCAGGGGAATTCAGGGGCCATCTCCTGCTGGAGTGGAGAAGGGCAGAGAGTTGGGTGAAGCCCTGGGCCCACCCTCACCTCCCAGTGCCCGCCATCTTACCGGGGACCCCGAGGGCCGGAGGAGGGTGCCCGACACAAGGGGTGGTTCCAGGGCTTGCTCAGGCTTGGCTGTGCACAAGCAGAACTGTGAGGGACACTGGGGCCAGCCCCAGCCCCATCATCTCCCAAGACCCCATCCCTCCCCTCCAAATAGCCCACCCCCCTTTCAGGTTTGGGGCCTATGTCCCTAATTCCTTGCCACCTTCCCGACAGCTGAGCCCACCCCTTAACACTTCATCCTCTGCTCCCACAGGCTCCCCACTTCCCCTCTGTGGGCAGTGCTCTTCCCATCTCACCTGCTGTGAGCAGCTGTGTGAGGCAGGGGTTGCTGCCCCCGGCTGGGGCAGTGGCAGCGGGATTGGGATTGGCGGTGGCAGGAGCCAAGGTTGGGGGGCTGGGCTTCTGCCCTCTAGGGGATGGGGTGGGGGGCTTGCCTCTGGGCCGCAGGCCTTGGGGCACTGTGAAGTGAGGCCCAAATTGGGGCTCCAGATACCCTGAGGGTAGAAGGTCTATGGGGAAGGGAGTAGGGGCAGGGCCTGGATCCGGCTGTGGGGTAGCTGGGAAGGCAGTGGGAGCAGGCAGTGGGGACACTCCTGGGGCAGGAGGGACAGTAGAGAAGGGGAATCTGGGAGAGAAGAGAGGCTCTTCCTGTAGCAAAGCTGGGGGAGGAGCCATGGGAGGGAAGGAGGGTGGGAGACAGGGCTCTAGGCCAGGCCCCTTGGGAAGGGCAGGGTATTGGAGGAGGGGTGGGGGTGCTGGCGGGGGTGGGATTTTGGGCTTAGGGTCTTCAGGAAGGAGGAAATCAGAGTTCAGGAAGGCACTGGAGTCCAGGGGACCAGGGCAGCTGCTCCGAGCCTGGTTGGGGGACAGACAGAGAGCAGGGGAGAAAGCTGGCCTTTGCAGCCACCCAGGCAGCCTCTTGCTCTGGCTAAGCTCTGGACTGGGCACTGGGAGAGAGAGGAGAAATGATCCTGCTGTCCCCCCACCCACACACACCAAGGGAAATTGTAACCTAATGAGGGGAGGGAGTGGAACACACTTAGGCACAAATTAGGCATGAGAAAGAGCATCAATCTTCCTGCCCATCTTTTCATTCATTGACTAATGATTCCATCCAACCACCAATCCATTCATCCTCCATATTCCATTTGTCCTCTCACCTGTGAGCTAACTCATCTCCCTATCTCTCCACCAACCCATGAAGTATAAACCCATTCACCAATCCATCCAACCCATTCATCTACCAACCCATCCATAAGCAGCCACCTATCCACCGTCTGTTCTTTGACCAGCCACTTATCTACCCACCACCCTATTTATCTACAAACCCATCCACCAGCCCGTCCATCCATCCAACCAACCATCGCCTCCCACGTAAGCCTCCACCCCCATCTACAACCCGCATATGCATTCACTGACACACCCATCCATCTCTACACTCACTCATTCACTTAGCAGCCCCATCATTGGGCAACCATTGACCCAATGCTGCCTCCACCGTGCTAGGTATGGAAGATGCAGCGGTGAGCAAGGCCTGGCTCTTCCAGTAAGGAGCTCACTGTCTGGTTGAGGAGAGAGACCTGTCAACAATGAACTACAATAGTGCTGGAACAGTCTGATGACAGAGGGAGAAGGCGTCTGACCTGGCAGCAGAGAGGCAACCTCAGGAATGAGCCTGTGAGTTCCTGCTCCAAAATGGCAGGTTCACTGTTTCCTAAACACTCACACTGAGCTTTCTGTCTCCGCATGCTCTCTCCCCATCCAGCTTGCCCTCCACTGGCCTCTTCTGCCCAAACCCAACACATTCACTAAGCCCAGAACCTCCCCTCCTCCAGGAAGCCTTCCTCAAGCAACCAGTCCTTCCTGGTACCCTGCTCTATGCTCCCCTGCCCTCAGCCTCCCTCCCAGAACCACCTGGTCCAGCTCTGCTTCACAATGGTTTTTCCTCCCCGGCTCAGTGGCGCCCACTCAGAGGGCAGAGATGGGGTCTCCCTCCCTGACTCCAGTCCCTCTCAGTCGACCAAGCACAGGAAAGGGCACACAGGAAGAGCCCTGAATATCTCAGGGACATGGGCAGGTGAGCGAGGCACGGCCAAAGGCCTGGGGTAGGAGCTCACCTGCAGGCGGTTATGCCCTGAGAGGTGGGTCATGCCTGACGAGGCAGGGGGCACCTCTGAGCCCAGGATGGAACTGCCAAAGAAAGGGTCAGCCATGGTCCCAAAGCTGGGGGGTTCCGGGAAGTGGGAGGCTGTGGGCGTCTGCGGGGGGCGGTAGCTGGGGAAGAAATCTGTAAATCAGACATACAGGGCGGTGGCAGTTAGGGATAAGGCCACGCGTGACTGGAGGCGGCGGGAGGAGAGTGGGCCTCGGGCTGTGTCCCCGAGCCAGGCTGGCCTCTCTGGCAGTGAGGTGGGGGGAGGCGGGGGAGGGGGGGCTTCCACAGGAGATTGTGAAATTGGGAGAGTTTCTGTCTCGCTCAGGGGAAGCGGCAACAGAGGTTCGGGTAGGATGGGCCTGCATGGAGGATGGCAGAGGCCTTGGGGGTTGGAGAGCAGGACCCCGGGAAACAGGCCTCCCGCCGAGCCCCGCACTGGCTCACGAGGCCCCCTTCCCTGTCCCAAGCCTGGGCACTCCCGTCTTCTGCTCCAGTCACCAGCTCTGCTGGGCCACAGAGAGGGGCGGGGTAATAGAGAGCGCCTGGGAGGGACAGGGGTGGGGTGCAAGGCGCAGAGGTCTGGGATAGGGAAGAGCCCCAGGGTGATAGGAGTTCAAGGGGTGAGATAGAGGTGAGAGGGGTCAGGAGGTCAGTGGGTCTGGGACAAGTTGGTGTGTGGGAAGGTCAAGTGGGGCCTCAAAAGTAGAGCCCAGGAGTGGGGTGGAAGGGCTAAGGGGTCAGAGGGTGGGCTCAGAGTGGGGGCAGGAGTGAGGGGAGGCGCTGGAAAGCCTGGAAGAGCTGGCGGGGAAGGGTCAGCCAGATTGTCTGAGGTGCGGGTTGTGTAAGGCCCAGGCTATTCTGGTTTTGGGAAGCAGCTGCCTGTGGCCTGACCACATCCCGGGCCTGGGCGCCGCCCGCCCACCCGCTCCCTTCCGGGCACCTTTCTCTGACCCTGACCAGCCTTTGGCCTGCACCAGCTCTCCAGACCTCCTGGTCTGGTCCCACCCAGCTCTGCTGGCCTTGGATGGGCCCCGGGGCCCCAGGCAGGGGAGCTGGTCAGGCCTCTCTCCCAAGGGAAGGAGACCCAGGAGTGGGACAGATAAGACAATGCCAAATCTGGAGCCTGATGGGGGTTGAACTTGTATGTGCATCTTTTTTTTTTTAAGTTTTTAGATTTATTTTGAGAGAGACAGAGATAGTGTGAGTGGGGGAGGGGCAGAGAGAGGCCAGACGCAGGGTGAAACCATGAGATCATGACCTGAGCAGTGATCAAGAGTCAGATGCTTAACCGACTAAGTCCCCCAGAAGCCCCGAAACTTGTCTGTGCGTCTTGCGTGAGCCCAGTGCCCACGGTGTTGCTGGAAGCCCGGCCCCGCCTGTGTCAGTGTGTGGTCTCATGTAGCATCTCTCTGTCTCCTTGCGTGTGCGTGTCCTGTGTCTGCAGCACTATCTGAGCCTGTGTGCCGGCCTTGACGAGAGGTGCTCGGCACGTGTGCGTCTGCTGTGTGCTTGGGTGTGTGTGTGTTTGTGTGCACGCACGTAAGAGCTCACGTGTGTCTTTCCTCGGCCCCCTGATCAGAAAGGATCTTCTCGTCCTACTGTCTGCCTTGAACCAAGGGACTGAGTGGCAGAGGGCAAGTGGTCACCGATCCTCCATGCCCCAGCCCTTGCAGACCGTGGGCCTTACCACTAGGCCCCTTGAGGCCTAGGCTCTAGAGCCAGCCCCACACTGCACCTGCTTCCTGGTCAAGGCTGCTGCCTCCTCCTCGGTGCTCAGAAGGGCTCGTGGAGCAAGGAGCCCAGCTCACCACGGAGCCACCACCAACTCCCAGCCATGGTGCACCCTCAGTTGCCCCTCCCCCTTTCCTAGCCCTAGCCAGTCACCCATGGAGCCTTAGTCTCCCCCATCCCAAGCTTCTACCCCCTCCCTGAGACCCTCTCCTGCTCCAAGCCCCCTCCCCTTCCTTGAGCACTCCTCACCAAGCCCCCTCCCTCCATGGAGTTCTGGCCTCTTCTCTGGGTTTCCTCTCAAGCCAGGAGCTCTTGGGACGATCAAAGCACGAGCCCTGGTGGCCCTGGCGGTCCCGGCCCTCCCTACGCATGGAGCGCTAGAGAGGGCCACGCTAACCACCCCCCTGCATGACCCACACCCCCTATCATAGGTTGCCCATCCTCACCCCCACCCAAGCAGCCACACTGGATTAAGAAAAGTGGCTTCTCAGCTCCAGTGTTGGTCCCGGAGCCCAGGGTCGAGGCAGTTTCCTACCTGTGGCATGGGTGCGTGTGCCCAGACAGGACCGCTGCCCTCCCAGGCTGGTCTGCTCTCAGGGCACTGCCATCAACACTTCTGCCCCCACAGCCCCCACCCTCTCCAGGGCTGAGGCAGGGGTGGGGGTGGTTCCTCATTCCCTAGTTCCCGCCCCACCTCTTGACTGACAGGCCCAGGACCCTGTGGGGAAGGAGTGGAGGGGTCATTGCAACTAAACCTTTATCCCAGAAACCCCCTTTCTCTCCCTGGAGCCTTGGCTAAGGCAAGCCAAGTCTCTATGGCGACCTGACCCCTAGCATGGCTCCACAGTCTCCTAAATGTTTGATTATCGGGACAATCTCCACGATCTATAGCTAAGTAAAAGAAACGATGTCAAGAAGAGTGTGTTGTGAAAACAAAAAGAGACATTTGTCCACAGCTGCTTATACAGACATGGGTATCTTTGGGAGGACACAAAAACGAGTGGCCTGGTGGCTCTGAGGTCAGGAGAGGAAGGCACAGAAACATGTTACTTAAAAAGTGCTTGGGGCACCTGAGTGGCTCACTCAGTTAAGCTTCTGACTTCTGCTCAGGTCATGGTCTCATTGTTCGTGGGTTCAAGCCCCACATCTGGGCTCACTGACAGTGCAGAGCCCGCTTCAGGTCCTCTGTCTCCCTCTCTCTCTGCCCCTTCCCTGTGTACTCATTTGTCTCCCTCTCAAAAATAAATAAATATTAAAAAAAAATTTTTAAGTGCTTTACAAGATACAATTCCTGGGATTTTCTTCTTTTTTTTTTTTAAGCTTATTTATTTTGAGAGAGAAACAGAGCACAAGCAGGGTAGAAGCAGAGAGAGAGAGAATCCCAAGCAGGCTCTGAACTGTCAGTACAGAGCCTGATGCGGGGCTCGAACCCACAGACCACAAGATCATTACCTGAGCCAAAACCAAGAGTCAATGATTAACTGACTAAGCCACCCAGATGCCCTTCCTGGGATTTTCCTAAAAAATAACATAGGAGGAAAAAATGGATGAGTTCTAGATGAAACCAGAGTGATCAAGGGCTGATAAATATTGACGTTGGTGATGGTTACATGAGGGTTCATTGAAATCACTGTCTTTCTACTGGTGTGTGTGTTTGGTATGTTCTTTAATAGATAGTTTTTAAATTTTGTTTTGTTTTTGTTTTATTTATTTATTTAGTAAGAGAGTGTGTGTGTGCAGGGGAGGGGCAGAGAGAAGAGGAGAGAAGATTCAAAGCAGGCTCTGCACTGACAGCACAGAGCCTGATGCGGGGCTGGAACTCAGGAACCGTGAGATCATGACCTGAGACGCAGCTGGACACTCAACCAACTGAGCCACCCAGGTACCCCAATAAATTGTTTTTAAAGGGAATTATATAAATAATAAACAGACCCAAACAAATGAAAGTCCCTTTCTCTCCTGAGAGTCCCGGCATGCACTGCTTCCTGGGAGCCCACAGAGCCCAGAGCTTGAAGTTTCAATGCCCCTGGGCCTTGGCCACTGCCCAGATATCCAGTTGGGTCCTGCTCTCACCTGAGGCCGCGTCATTTGCATCCCAAGTCCGGCCAAAGGGAGACCAGGAAGGCATCTCTCAGAAATCTCTCAGGTCATCCATCCTCCCAGAGGGGCTTGAGGTCTGCTGGTCATGCTGGGACTTTCCTTGCACTGACCCAGCTGCCTGCCCCCTCTTCCCCCCCCCCCCCAACCTCCAGGACAGGGCGCTGCTTCACCTGAGATCTCCATGAAGTCATCCAGGCTGGGCTGCAGGGGTGTCAGGTCCGGCTGGATCATGTCAGCATTGCCCACATAGGCTGGAGGGGGCAGAGGTGACGTCAGGATGAGCAGGCGGCGCGGATGGGGGGCTACCCACTCCTGGCCATCCTCTCTTGGCTGCCGGGATTTTCACAGGCCTCCCTTCGCAGGCGCAGGCCCTTACCATCCTCAGGGGGCAGCTGCATGGGTGTGGAGCTGGGCTGCGTCATGGTGAAGAGCGTGTCGGAGATGTCGGACAAAAAGCAGTCGAGGTCCAGAAGCTGCCTCCCGCCAGGCTCCTCCTCCGGGCCCCCGAGCAGCACGGGCACCACGCTGGAGAAGAGCTGCTCGCACCATCGCTCCGGTGGCTGCCAACCCCCTTCCGCCTAGGGAGACAAAACCTTCAGCAGCCACTGGAGGGACACCGGGGTCTCCCGCTGCCCCTGGCCCTTCCGCATGGCCCCCTGCCTGGGGGTGAGGTGGGCAGGACATGGCCCTCCTCACCTCTCTCTGGAGGACCCAGTTTGCCGCCTGGAAGCCTTATGGTCACCCCATTGGCCTCTGACAATTGCCCCCACGAGCTAGAGCCGGATGGCCTGCCGGACAGATAAGGGTCCTCTTTCTGTCCCCTGTGCTTTTTCCTGCCTGGAATCGCAGTTCTTAGGGACTTCTGTTCCCCCATGCCTCCCACCACTTGCTCGGTTAACCAGAAGGTTGGGGGCTTCCCACCACTGCGTTCAAAGACTTCCCGGGCTGGGCTGGGGAGAAGGGCTCAGTCAACCCGAGGACAGCGGCCACGCCCACCGCCCTCAGCGGGTCCCGCCCTCATCACCTTGAGAGAAGCTGTCAAGTCTCTGGGTCCAGGGAGCACCCACCTGCTTTGGGGTCAGGATATCTCCTTCCCTGCTGGACTTACGGAGCTGCAGGAACACAGAGAGGCGGACAGTGGATCCCTTGTCCCTCTTCCGTCTCTTCCCGTCTTGGCTTCCCCTCCTCACAAGCTCCCCCAGGCAAAAGGGATCCCCGTTTCCCCTCAGGAGCGCTTCCGCGCTGGGAGGTAAGGAGGCTGCGAGGAGACCCTCGGCCACACGGTGGCGCTGTCAGCATGGGTCTTAATGGTGGTGGGGGGGGGAGCCTCGCCCGGGCTCTTCCAAGAGAGGCAGCGGTCGGCAACCCCCCCGGGGCCCCCCACTGACCCGCTTCTTGTAGTAGATGCGCCACTTGTGGTACTCGCGCATCACCACCTCGATGCGCCGCTTCCAGTAATTGCCCTCTAGGACCACGGCCTGGAGAGGGCCGGGGAGGGGGCTCAGTGAGACAGGCAGCCGGACCCCCACCCCGCACCAATCCCTGTCGGGGCCAGCCCCTCCTGCCCGGCGCTGGAAGGGGCCGGGCTTGGTAGGGAGGTAGGCAGGCCGGAGGTCCCCCGCCACTGAGCTACCTCTGGTTTCCGGTGCTCATCAGCCTCAGGCCCCTGCAGGGGGGTCACGAAGCCACACACGGGGCTCTTCCTCCGCTCCACATCTGGGAGAAGGGGGCCAGGTCAGGAGGGTACCCAGCTCCTTCACCTCCCACTCCAAGGGGACCGGGACTCAAGTGCCATACTAGGAAATCCTGCTTCCCGTGCTTAGATGAAGTGCCATCTCCTCCAGGAAGCCTTCCTGCCTGCTCTAGCCCTCCCAGAGCTCCCTCTACTATGGGACCCCGTGAAAGGAACCTCCCACACCTCCTCTGCCTCCCTGGGCAGCCCAGCAGGCGTGCGGGCCATGGTTGCTGAATGGGGTTGTGGGATCATAGGAAGTGAGCTGCTCCCACATCAGACCCTGAGACCAGCAGGCCAGTGTCTGGAGCCCTTGGTCCCCTGCCTAAGGCTCCTAGGCACTGCCCAAGCTGATGCCAGATAACCACCTCTTGTCCCTTCAGGCCACCTCGCTGAGCCCTTTTTCCCCCTCCTCCACTCCCTTCCCTATCTCCAATCCTGGCCTCTCCCCAGGCTCCTTCTTTTGGGCCCATAAACACTTTCCAAGCTCCCCTTTTCCTCCCAAACTTTCCCTTCCTTTGCTACCCCAGCAAGCTAATCTTCCCTTTCACCCCTTTGCTTTGCTCCCAATTCTGGAAGATTTGTCACCACTACCTGCACCCCAGGCATCTTGGTCTCCTCTTCACTTTGTGTAACTTCTGTACCTGGCCCCACTGCCCTGCCAAGGCCCCTGCCTGCCCCCCCCCCCCCAACCCAGGCCCATCCCTCTGGGCCTCAGCAGTAGAGCATGCCCTCCCTCCCTCCACAAGGGAACCTTCCTTTGGTTCTCCTGCTTCCCTGACTGATTTCACTGTCAGGCCCCCCCACCCCCAATCCTGCCCCTTTCCAGGCTTATTTTCCAGCTGCCCGCAAAGTCTCCATCAGAATGTCCCAAATTAAAAAAAAAAAAAAAAAAAAAAAGGATGTCCCCAAACTTGAAATCTTCCTCCCACTCACAGAAACTCCTCACTGACCTCAGCATTCCTAACTCACTCCTGAGGATGTGTGGCATTTCTTCCACTGTCCCCTCCCCTCCATATTCACTGCCACCCCCGGCCTGATGTCATTTCTCACTCTGGCCTCCCTGACTCCAGCCTCACCCTCTCCTGCCCATCTTCCTTTTATGGCCCAGAAGCGCAGAAACCCTCCATGGCTCCCTCTACCTCTGGGATAAAGTCTACACCCCTTAGCTTGGCTTCCAAGCCCTCCATGACTGGGCTATCTGCTTTGCCTGGCTTTTCACCTCTTTCATAGGCCCCACCTTGAAGGCAGATGGCTTTCCTCCACCAAAGCCCACCCACCGGTGTTATTCTACACCACCCTTCCTTTCCCTCCTCTGCCTCACCCATACCTGCCCACCCATCTGGACAGCCCAGGGCCGCCCCTCTTCCAGGAAGCTTCCCTGCTCTGAAACTCCGTGGTCTTATCTGCCTCACTCTCTACTTGGCCTTGGCCATTTCTCTGCATGCTGGCCTCCCTGCTGGGAGTAAAAGCAGAAACCATTGCCCTTTAGACTCAAATCTCTGAATCTGGGGCAGAGCTTGGCATGCAGTAGGACTTCCAAACCTTGGGATCCCCGAGCAGTGACTTTTTCCACCTCAGCCCTCAGCAAACTTCCTCTTGGAAAATAGACAGATGAGGGGGACCACCCGAACATGACATTTATTGGGACCTTCAGCATCATTTACAAAGTTCTGTCCCAAAGGACATTCTCCCAAATGATCCCCATGGGAATGGGCGAGAGAGTTTGTCCTGGTACCAAGTGAGCGTGGCTTAGAAGACAAAGGGATGGGCCCTCGGATCTAGGGACTCCCTGGGGCTCAAGCAAGGAGGGTCTCTAAGAGTAGCTGCCCTGGCTTCCCAATGAGGAAATAGGCACCAGAAAAGGATAAGTTTTCCCAGGGCCCCCAGAGCTCAGGTCTGAGAAGGCCTGGCTGGGCTTTCCCTCCCCTACGTCAGGGACCCTGTGCTCCAGACAGAAGGGCAGTGACCTTGTGGCTCCTGGATCTGGGACAGGCTTTATTTAACACCGAGAAGTTCATCCATTCAGGCGGCCACCTAGCCCCTTGCACGTAAGCTGGGACAGATACTGGGACAGGGAATCAGTGGAATGGGGTGTGACAAAGGAGGGGATCTCGGAGGCCAGGAGCATGCAGAGGGGTGGCAGGTTGGAGGGGATGAGCCAGGCAGCCCTCCAGCTGTCCCCACCCCTCTGCCTTTCCTGAAGTCCACCTTCAAACCCTCAGTGCTCAGGAAGAAGGGGCGTGTTGACATTTGTTACATGCCTGTGGGGTGCCGTTACTATTATCACAATAATATCACCTTCTGGGAGCCCTTGTGCGTGTGAACGATCTCCCTGAAGACTCACAGCAAACTGTCAGAGTGGAACCTACTGTTATTCCCACTCTGCAGATGCGTGATCTTCAGCTAGGGAGGCTAGGGACTCTGCCAAGGTCACACGGCTGGGGCATCCTAGAACTTGACTCAAACCCACCTCTGTCTGACGCAGAACGTGGCGTGCTTCCAGCAACTCGTGCAATAGGTAGAGACCAGGGTCTGCCTGTCTGGGGGAGGACCCTGGGTGGCATCAGAAATGTCTTCTGCAGAGAGAAGGGTTTGCATCCCATCTGCCTTCATGGGGAAGGGTGGAGAGTGCAGAGGTGTGTGTAGGGGTGGGGAGTGACTCCCTCTGGCCTATCAGCTTCCTGGTCTGGGTAGGGCCCATTCTGTGTGTTGTCAGGTGAGGCCTGGAAGCCAACCAGCTGGGAGCAACGGAAGGAGCACTGGGCTCAGAGTAGGAGAGCCCTGGACTTCCAGCCAGTCACAGCTCTGCTTCTTTTATGCTCCACGACCCTGAACATGTTATTGGCCTTCTGGGCCTTACTTGCTCATCCATAAAATGGGAGTGATAATATCTATCTGCCAGGGTTGCTAGGAAGCCTCAAGTAAGATGATTTATGGAGCACTGGACACATAGATAAATAGAAACCAGAAAACCCTCCCTCTTTCTGCTTGGATGGAATCCAGTGGAGCCGGGACAGAGAATACTGAGTATGGTCCCTCCTGGCCTGTGTGCTCCCAGCTCAGGGAAGCCTTTGATGAAGCAGGACTTGATTGAGCTGGACAAGGTCCCAACCCTGAGGCCGCTCAGCCTCTGCTGCTGGGCCACGGAGGGCGGGAGGGTCTCATATGCCCAGATGAATGACCGTGACCTCCTCAAGGGCATCCCAGATTCAACCATCATTTATTGGGCCCCAGTTTTGTGCCAGGTCCATTCATACTTGTTATCCCCATGCCAACCAAGAAGAGTAGGACTATTGGCCTCATTTTATAGATAAGGAAACAGATTCAGAGAGGTTAGTCACACGGCCTGCAATCACACAGCTGGCAAGGGCAGAGACTGGGGAAGAATGCAGCTCTGGGTAATGCCCAAGTCCGAAGCCCCTGCCACTCTACCACATGGCCTCTCTAGGCCCCCTGTCCCCAGTTCCATGGGGGCACCTGATGGGGGTTCAGTAAGGACTTTAGTGAAAGGCTGGTGAAGACCCAGGCAGGACCCTTAGCTTCCCCATTCGCGACGTGATGCCACTGGCCTAGCCAGCATCTCACACCTCTTTCCACCCTGGCATCTGGGGCACTGACGATGCTGACAGAATGCAGAAAGGGTCTTGAACTGTCCTCCAAATCTCTGCCCACCTTAGGACTTCCAAGGTGTGACCCCGGCTGTGCCTAGCACCCCAGGGGAGAGCACCCTTTGGGACACATTCCCTGAGACCCTATGGGGGTCAGATGCTGGTTCTGGCCCCAAGAGGGTTTCCTGGGCACCTCCCACATCAGCCCCCCATTGCTGGCGAGGCCCCAGGTGCCCACTCACACTGGATATACCAGGCCCTCCAGATGGCGTTGTTGAGGCGGATCTTGTCCCGGCAAAGCAGCTTGAGGCCTTTGAAATTCTTCCACTTGGGAGACACCAGCTTGCCACTGTCAGGGGGAGAGGGCTGGGTCAAGGGGGTGGACAAGGGGCAGCTCAGAGGGGCCTCCCACAGGGCTGGATCCCCCTCTTCCCCCGCACTGGCTACTCATCCATGCCCGGCAAGCTGAGGGCACCCCTCCAACCCCGCCATTCCTGCCCTTCACTCTAACCTGCCTGAAATCTCTACCCTGAGAGTCAGACCTTTAAAAACCCCTCCCAGGTCCCTGCTTCTGGCTGAGCTGCTCATTAACCCATCACCAGAACTAAAACCAGGGCCGAAACCTATTTGTCACTTTCCTCAGGACAATCATGCCAGCGGCCTCACAGGCATCTGTTTCTCAGGCTGGCTAGGGAGGGTGTTCAGACCCATTTCTTTCTTTCTTTTTTTTAATGTTTTTTATTTATTTCTGAGAGAGAGAGAGAGACAGCATGAACAGGGGAGGGTCAGAGAGAGAGGGAGACACAGAATCTGAAACAGGCTCCAGGCTCTGAGCTAGCTGTCAGCACAGAGCCCAACGTGGGACTTAAACACAAGAACTGTGAGATCATGACCTGAGCCGAAGTCAGACGCTTAACCGACTGAGCCACCCAGGCGCCCCTTCAGACCCATTTCTTATGGAGGGCAACTGAGTGCCAGGGAGGGAAAAGGGCATGCTTAACATCACATGGTGGAGACTCGTTCAGGCCCTGTGACCTTTTCTCCACCAGTCTCACTGGCCCCCTTCAGCCTCCCCCGGGGGATGGGTAAGGTGTGCCTGGGTGGGGAGAGAATCTCTTCGCCACCGGTGGCTTCCAAGCAGCCAGCCGCTGCCTTTTCACTGCCCTTCTGGCGTCTGCCTGCTCCAGAATCCCAGGATGGCAATGGGGTATGCTGGATGGAGTGTGCCCCTTCTCAGGGGCGTGTGCAAAACAACAGCCATCAGGCCCCAAAGGAAGGCACCTGGGATGGTGGAGTGGTGGGTAGTGGGGAGGCACCACCCTGACCCAGGCCCTAATCCTGCCCCTAATCCTAGCAGTCAGTAAAATAAACTCTCGCAATGACTGTCAAGGTCAAGATGTACTAGGCGCAGGCCAAGTCTGCCAGCCCTAAGGAGCTGACCGAGGATGTCAAGATGCTCAGGGTCTAGACCCCCAACCTCCTCCCTCCCTCCTCATGGTCCACAAGCCAGGGCTGTATATGAGTCCCCTCTGGCCCACTTTCGAGGACCCTTGCTCACATGGAAGTCTGAGGCCCCGGGGCTTATTTGTTTTTCAAACACCGGCCTGCCTTCTCCCAAGGCTTCTCCCTCATCGTGGGGGTAATGGGTGGGTGGGTGGCAATGTGACTCCTATAGCTCCTTAAGTGCATGGGTCACCGGGTCTTCTCTCCTCTCTGGTGTCCAAGCTCCTGTGTTTGTTTTGGGGTATGGAGTAGGAAGAGCTGCCACCCCAGGGTACCACAGGCCTCATTACCCAAATAGAGTACATAGCCCATGGCTGCTGGCTGGCCCTCTCCCTCCTAAGTTAGATAAACACCATCTGTCTCGTAGGGAGACATGGGTGGGGTGCACTGATACCTCCTGGGTCAGCTTCTTCTTTGCCACCTGGGGGGACTCCTGAGTTTGTTGCTCCTGCCTGTATCCCAGCAACCTCCCCACCCACTCTGATCACCCAGTATCCCGTGCCCAGCCTGCCTGCCCCTCCTCCCTGTCCCTGCTGAGGCTCTGGGGTTTGTGGCCAGGCAGGGCTTGGGGAGATGAGACAGTGACAACATCCAAACCCAGGAGGAGAGGATTTGGTCTGTGCTGGGCTTGTTGGCTGGGAAGGGAGGAGAGGGGCCCAGCCCAGAGGAAAAAGCCTGTGACCAGGGCTCAAAGGCTTCTTCTGACCAATAGAAAATCTGGGAATCTCAGGGATGGGTGGGAGAAAAGCTAGAGCTCTTAGTTCGGTCCCCCCCCCCACCCCAGTCCAATCTCCCTTATAGGAACTCCAAGGTCCTGCCTTGGGTCTACATCCCCGGGGCCATTCTTTCCACAGCTAGCCACAAACAAGTGCTTTCTTGGAACTTCCAGACCCTGTCTCCCTGGGGCTTCCACCCACAGAACCGTGGAATATGCACCTCCTAGAAGAGAAGTCCTCCCTCTGCCCACAATGCCCTGCTGAGGATGAAAGCTGGCCAGGCACCCACAGGCTGTCCTCTGGGTCAAATACCTTGGGACCCCTTGCCTTGCTGTCCCTTCCCATCCAGTCACTCTCTCAGGTCATCCTGCCTTCTCCAGTCCTTTCCTCTCCAGGGTACTGCTATAATTGGGGATATTCAAAGGCTAAAACACTGTCCCAGTCTGAGCCTCAGATTTTTTTTTTCTCTACCAAATAGGGGAAGCCAAAGCCTCCTCTAGTACTGAGTCACCTCCATCCCTGGCTCTTGGGCCCCCACAGAGATGAAATATTCTAGGTGTTTAGAGAAAAAGAACAGCCCATTCCTCCCCAGCTGCCCTGGGTCCCATCAGATTCTTAGTCCGGTCTCTTAGCGGGGGCAGTCCTTGGAGTGTGCTCGCCCTGAGCTTCCCCCCCCCCCTCCACTTTTGGTCACCCATGGTCTGGGATGTAGTATAAAGCAGGAAGCTGAAGTTGGGAGCAGGTGAGAAATGGCCGGGGGGGGGGGGGTGCCCACATCCGGTGTACCAGGACCTTAGATGCCCTGTCCCAGCCGGTCCCGTGATGTCCTAGGAGGCGGGGGAAGGGAAGAAAGGGACGGGAATTTGAACTTTCCACATCGGTCGGGCGCCCTGGACGATCAGGTTGCAACATGACCTGGGCCCGGGGCCAGAGCATGTGGGCCAAGGTTACATCTCCTGCAGCCAATGGGGTCGCGGCTGGGCTGCCGCAGTTGGGGGTGGGCAACACCCCCGCAGTCCCCCCCCCGCTCCGGCTCGGGATCAGAGAGACTCAAGGGCCGTTCTGTATTCCGCGGTTCTCAGAAGGGGAGGAGGCGCCGCCGAGGAAGAGGAATATTTGCACAGAGAAAAGATCAAGGCTGGCCGATCCCCCTTTCAGCTCTACGGTTTTCGGTTGATAATTTATCCTGGCCCCTCTGCTCCTGGGAACTTTGCTCCAGGGCAACGGGCCAGAACCCGGGTTCGCGCCCTCTCCTGGGACGCAGGCGTGGAGCCCGGGCCGGGCGCGGTCCGCGAGCTCCCCCCGCCCCGACACGTGTAACAGGGGTCCCAGGCAGCGCTAGGCGCTCGGCCTCGCTCTGCGACCGGGGTAGGCGAACCCAGGCCTCCCGGGCACCAGCGGCGCGCGGCGTACAGCACCCCCTGCTGGGTGCCCGCTGGGAAACTCAGCCAGCTGTGCCCCCACCTCCCTGGGCCCGCGCGGGCACCCTTCTCCCTCCACCCTCGACTAGCAAGTCAAGAACAGGTGTCCCAGCAATTGGGAGGTGCAGGGAGGACGAGAGACTGGGTTTCAAAAGACGTTGGCTATAAATCGGGACAATCACGGGCGTGAGGAGTATCGCCAGGGTGCAGGGATGAAATAGGTCTGAGCCGGAGGTACTGGGGAGGGAGCAGAGGGCCGAGGTGGTCGGGTGGAGTAGCCCCCAGAGTGGAGGGTGGGGATAGCTTAGGGTTCTGGGAGCGCGAGGGGATGCCCGGCATTTCTCTGGGGGCAGAGGAGTCAGGACGGGGAGAGGGGCCTTTGGTGGGTCGAGGTGGAGGTCAGGAGGTCCGCGCCCTGAGGGGGGAGTGAAAGTGGTGAGCCATGGGAATCTGGAGGCAGGGCCAGGGGCAGAGGACGCTCGGGATTGGGGGAGAAAGGTGTCCAGGATGTGGTCGGACTCTCCGAGAGCAGTCAGGGACCAAAGTTTGGGGCCGGGTGGGGTGTCCGGGGCCCCAGCGCGTGGCGCCGCCACAGAGGGCCGAGGCGGCCGGGCCCCGGAGCCTCCCTCACCTGTAGGCCAGGCTCATGCACTCGAAGAGGCGGGTGAGTGTGGGGTCGATGCTGCGCGGCCCGAAGTCGGCGGGCCCCGTGGGCCCCTCCTGGTCGCGCCGCCGGGTCAGCGAGTCGCTGTGCGGCGACGACACCATGAAGTGACCGCTGTGGATGACCTGCGAGCGGAGCAGCCCGCCCGCGCTGCGCCGGTTACTCGGGTCCTCCGAGTCTGTGTCTGAGTCCGAGTCTTGGCTGGGGACGACCCGCGGGCAGTGCAAGCCCGCCGCCAGACCCGCCAACGCCCCAGCCATGGCTTTCGTCGCCGCCGCCTCGCCCGGGCGCGATGGAGCTGCTGGCTCGGCCAGTGTGGCCCGATTGGCCTCATTAACATAACCCCGCCCCATCCATAGCCATAGGTCGTTCGAGGGGGCGGGGCCTTGAGGCCTCAGCGCGCGGGAGAGGAGGGACTGGGCTTAAATTAGCATAATCAATATGCTAAGCTGGAGCGCGGGCGAAGCTACTGCGGGTCTGGAGTTTGCAAGAGGAAGAGGTCCCTAACTCCGCTCCCGCCTTTCCTTACATGGTGCCCCTATCTTGCCCAAAAGGGGCCTCAAGAAGAGTTGAGTACTGGGGCGCCTGGTTGGCTAAGTCGGTTGAACAACCTGTTCTTGATCTCCGCTCAGCTCCTATCTTGGCTTGGGTCATGATCTCGTGGTTCGGGCGAGTTCGAGCCCCACGTCCGTCTCTGCACTAACAAGTGCAGAGTCTGCTTGGAATTCTCTCTCCCTCTACCCTATTTGTGCTTGTGCGCTCACGCGCTCTCAAAAAAAAAAAAAAGGTTTGACTTAATATTCACTCCTGAGCCTGAGAGCCTCAGTCAGTCCCTGGGATTCCTTGCTTCCAGGAGCGCCCTCCTGTGAAGCCCCTCAGCTAACTACACCCCTTCCTCCCCGCCGTCCCTGGTCTTCAGGCTCACATTCACCCTCTCTCGGTCCTGCACACAGCTGGACACACACACCTCTCAGAAGTGTTGTGTGGCCTGGCCCCCAAGAAAGTCTCAGCACCCCCAGTTGCCATTATGATCATCACTACATCCGCGCAGAGGCCCTGGAGGGTTACATGAGTGTGAATCCATGAGTGGTGATGGGTGACGACTGGCCAGGTGGAGTCTTGGTCACCTTCCCCTGACATCCCCAGGGCAAGTGCACTGGGTCCTCCCTCTTGCTGCCCTGGGGTCCAGCTCATGTTCCTGTTTCTGGGGTCTCTCTTCTCACCCTGAGAACACGAACTCGGCTGTTTGGTCTAGAGCACTCACACCGTCACCCGGCTGGCACCTTTAACAATCCTCAGAGGTGGGATTCTTGCCCCGCCTCAGAGCACGTCACCAGAGTCTACAAGAGTGGAAACACACCCGAGTATCTACACAGGGCCCGGAATGGAACCTAGTCTAGAATTCCAGACTTCCCATCCAGGGCTATCTCTGGTGGGGGAGGGGAGGGCTAGAGGCCAATGCTAATTAACCTCCCTTGGTTTTGTGGAAGGCGTGGCCTCTGTGTGGTCACAGGAGAGAAAGAGGGGGCTGGAAGCTTGGAGAAGGTTCTCCCAGAGTGTTTTCTTCCCTCCCCTGGTAGGGTCACGCAGCTCCTGCAATCACATGGCAGTGCCTTGAGGGCCCCTGTGGTCACCTGAGGCACTGAAATGATCGCCCGAGGCTGCTCACAGTCCCACCTCTCCACCCACCCACCTGATGTCCCTTGGCCAGGTACCCTCCGTCCCTGCCAGTCGGCTTTCCCTCCCTGGAGCCCCAGGTGCCTCTCTCTGCAGGGGGTGCATTCTCTCTGCTCACCTGAAGGCCAAACTCTGGGGCCTCAGATGCCCACCTCGGTCTGCCTCCTCTGGAGAGAGAGCCACTCCTAAGCGGTGCTTTTGGGATCCTGTACACGGAGCCCGACAGGGTCACTACTTATGTGCTACTTATATGCCTGTCTGGCTCTGCCCCTGACTGTTCCTTGGGTGTCTGAACCCCCACACTGGGCATGCAGGGGCTTGGGAACGCCTGGAGAAGGGCATGGCACTAAGAGGACGCCGTGGCCACCTTGGGGAGCAGGGGTAGAAAGCAGGGCGTCTTTTCCCTTGGCGCCTCCTAGCTCCGGGGACCCTGCCTTAGGCAGAGATCTGAATTGATCCTCCCTCTGCCACCAATTGCACGAATGCCCCAGGGCAAATCTCTGTCTTCCTGGCGCTCTGTCTCAGTCTCTCTCTCTCTCTGTCTTTGTCAACTCAGGAAGTTGAATTCAGTGATTGCTTAGGGTCCTGTAACACCCTAGGTTCTAAGTCTGTCCCATCAGGAGCACTCCTCTCCCCACCCCGCTCCCGCGGGCCGCCTGTCCCCAGGAGAAAATCTCAGAATTGTCCCCTGTGGTTCAAAAGGTTTTCTCATGAGTTGAGTCTCAGTAGGGTGAATTATCTGTCTCACCCCACTACCCTCTCTTTCCCCAGCCATCACCTGGCTCTCTGCACCCCGTTCTTGCCCTCCTCAGGGCCTGATAATACCTCTGGAGGGCTAAGTACTGAAAAGGCAACCCCTCTCTGTGTAATTCAAAACAGAACAACAGTATTTGTACAATAAATGCAAGGAAGTTCATAAATCTTGACTTCTTCATGAGGACATCTTCGATTAGAAAAAAAAAATCCATTTCTATTTTTTTTTTTTCAAAAAGAAAAGAAAAAATTTAAATGCTACAAGCTCGCTGGGGCCTGGCATGCATGCTTCATCTGTCTTGTCTGCCCCCCTCATCATCACCCCTAACCATACTGAAGTAGGTAATATTACCTCCATTTTACAGCTGAAGAAACAGGCTCAGGGAGTGAGGCACTTGCTCAAGGTCCCGCCGTGAGAAAGGGCAGAGCCAGGTCTGACTCTGAAGTCCAAGCTCCTTCGCTCATGAGGATGCCACTTATCTCCTCTTAAATATGATTCTAGCTACGGGCAGCTGGGATACGACCCCCCATCGGGGCCCTGGCAGGCCAGGGCGTGGGCACAGAGGTTCAGGGTGCCCTTGCCCGGATGACAGTGCAGGCTTGTGCAAGCTGGCCTGGCTCACCCCTTTGCTCTCTTTCCGATCTGGCCCCTGTTACCCACTGCCCTGTGTTTACACCCTCTCTCTGCGGCCAAGTATGGTTTACAGCCCACGGAGGCGCAGGACCAGGTCCGGGTTGGGGTGTGCGGCCCTAGCTGGCCCAGCCATCCTGCTTGACACCACACCCGCCCTGTGTCCCAGCCTTCGTTCTCAGGATCCCTCGCTTCCCTCCTGGTCGGGAAAGCTCACCCAAACTAGAAGTGCCACCTCCCCCTCCAACATCTTCCCGGAGTTCCCATCCACGGCTCTTGTTCCAATAAAACTTTTAACTGCGTTCCGCTCTGCAGTCACAGCGAGGGGTGCACATTCCTCCCTATCCCACTAGATGGCGAAGTGCCTGAAAGCGAGAATCCCATCTTTCTCCTCTCCACAGACCATTTTCCTCCAAGTGCGAATGTCCAAATGGGTTTTTGTTGAATGAATTGAGTTTAAACTCGGTCTACTACGTGTGTTCTACCTATCCATCCGTCTACACACACACACACACACACACACACACACACACACACACACACACCATTTACGAAGTGTGTATTATGGTCCTATCCCAGTGCTAGTATTTCACTTTTGTGAAAATTAAAAAATTACAGAGGGGCACCAGGGTGGCTCCGTCGGTTGAGCATCTGACTCTTGGTTTCGGCTCAGGTCATGATCTCACAGTTTCGTGAGTTTGAGCCTCGTGTCTGGCTTTGCGCTGGCAGTGTGGAGCCTGCTTGGGATTCTCTCTCCTTCTCTCCCCGCCCCTCCCCTGCTTGCGCTGTCTCTGTCACTCTCAAAATAAATAAATAAACTTAAAAAAAAACAGAAATGCAAAGATGTGGCACTTGTTATATCCATAGAGATGGAAAGTAGATTAGTAGCTGCCAGGGGCTGGGAATAGTTGGGTGTGGGCAATTAGAATGGCTGCTGATGGGTATTGGGTTTCACTTTGCGGATGATGAAAATGTTCTAGAATGAGACAGTGGGGATAGTTGCACAACTTTGTGAATATGCTAAATGACACTGGAAAAGGATGAATTTTATAGTAAGTGTATTATATCTCAGTAAAATTAGGCACTTTTATATATCATTCCATTTCCTGGTAGTCCTCACCACTGTGCACGTGTCTGGATGTGTTACATTTTACAGAAGGGGAAACTGAGGCTCCGGGAGGTGATTCAGAGTACTGTTGTGAGAATTACCGATACATGGCTAATGCTGCACCTAACCTAACCCACCCATGGAATGTTCATAACAGCTCCATGATTTTCAACTCATCTTGTAGACAAAGAAACAGGGTTCGCCAAAGGTCACAAGGTACAAAGAGAGCTGAGATTCAAACGCAGGCAGTCCGATGCCAGCCTGCCCCCAAGAATGTACGTTCTCAAATTAGAAGGAGGAGCCATCGTTTGGGGGGACGTGGTGCCAGGAGAATTCCATCCCTGCCGCTGCCAGGGTAACTTGGCACAATCACTTCGGAAAACTATTTGTCAGCACCTACTAGGGCTGAACATCCACCTCCCTGATAACCCAGCAATTCCACAGATGGGTGTATATGTGCAACAAAGTACACGTACACAACTATTCACTCAGCAGTGCTCCTATCAACTCAATACTGGAAACAACCCAAATGGCTATCACAGGTAAATGGTACATGCATGGCAGTACACCCACTGCTATGGAAGAGAAATGTATATAATATATATATAATATAATATACACACATGTATAATATAATATGTATATTATATATTATATTATATATTATAATAATACATATATAGTATGTACACATTAAATGTAATACATATATATATTACATATACATTTGTAGGCTCCATGCCCAATGTAGGGCTACGAACTCTGAGATCAAGAGTCGCCTGCTCTATTTAAAAAATTTTTTTTTAAATGTTTTATTTATTTTTGAGAGAAAGAGAGAGACAGCGTGAGTAGGGGAGGTTCAGAGAGAGAGGGGGTCACAGAATCTGTAGCCAGGCTCCAGGCTCTGAGCTAGCTGTCAGCCCAGAGCCCGATGCGGGGCTCGAACCCACGAACCGTGAGATCATGACCTGAGCTGAAGTCGGACGCTTAACCGACTGAGACACCCAGGTGCCCCAGGAGTTGCCTGCTGTATTGACTGAGCCAGACAGACAACTGCTTCCTCTACAGATTATTAATACAGCAATGGGAATGGACACCGTACAACCA